TAGCTTTGAGGAAATAGCCATGCTTTTTTGTATTTGAATACAAAATTAATTACAGAACTAATTAAAATCCAAGTCTCCGGTTCAGCCTTAGTCAGTTTTTGTAAATGTTGTTAGCAATACTTCCACTGGGAGACCTAAAGGAAGAGCTAAAGGAATCCTGAGGGACCAATGGTGGATTTTCAATACCTGAAGCAATGCCTGCCTTTCAGCTCTTCCATTTATGCCAGGAAAGAAGAATGAAGCATGATGGACAAAGTTGATTTTGTATTGTAATTTTTTTTGTTTTCTTTTCTCTTTTTTGCCTCTCATCTATTCTTCTGTCTTGAGTTGTTCCAGTTCTTTTTCCATTCATCTTCACTGGCCCCCTTGCTTCCTCGTCATTCTTTCCCTTTGTTCCCATAAATACCTTACCTAAGCTGCCTCATGTGTTTCCCTGGAAGTTTATTTCCCAGGTCCCCCCAGTTCCATTTAGTATTTTCCTCCTTCTAAGTGTCTCTCTCTTCCCTTTTCCTATTTTTCCATTTGGCACCTTCCACCACTCTTCCTCTTGCATTCTCCATCTCTTGGCTCGAAAACAGAGTAGAGAAGACTGGTCTATGAATAGCCTTTGTTCTGTTTGCCTTCATGCTAAGTCTAAGGGAGATGCACCTCACAAGTCAGTGACCTATTTTATTTTAAACCTTGCTCAGACGGACTAATAAATAACAAAGAGGGAGATCAATGTTCAGAGAAAGAGAGAGAGATCCACATTTTCAGATTGCATGCTTCCTTATGCTCCGTGTGATTATTTTTTAACCCACAACAAACCAGTGCTAGTCGAGACATTCTCTGAAAAGAAAAGGCACTAAATCGCAGGTGCATGTCACAAGACTCTAGAGTGCCATACTTCAAATGAAAGGAAATGCCATATACTACTATGGATCCAGTTGACTCTGCACAATTGCCTCCCATAAAAATTTTATTAATAAAAAAATTCTGGGAACTTTTTCCTGGATGGAACCATGACTAATTTTAAAAGGTCAAACACTCTTTAGAATTGCATGCATGCTCCTGCCAGATGTGGAATTTGCTTTTAATGCTGCACAAACCAAGTGGCAACATTTCATTTTGGTAACCTCTCAAAGTACTAAGCATCTTTCATGAGCATTTCAGGCTTGCATATGGAATAAATACTGAGTATCTTTTAATCTCCTACCTCCTTTATTTTTTGATAAAACCTACTTGGTAATTTTTGGCAGAACAATGTGGCATGGGTTAAACAGTATCAAATTTTACTTTCTCATTGCCTATGGAAAAATAGTGATAGTACCTATGATTCTGATTCTTGAAATGGAAGTCAATATAGAAGGAAAGTATTTGAGGAGGCAATTTCTGTTACAACTGATTAAAAATATAAAGTAGAAAATCCTGTATTGTCAAAGCTTAATCATTAAGTGTTTAAACGATTATAAAAACTTTGTATATTTGTTCCAAGTCACTCATTCACAATAGTATGAGGCAACAATTCCTAGATCCTTCTTCGAGGTCCTAGAACCATTTTATCTTTGCATATTTTTGCTTCCAGCACCCACAAAGGCACCAGTTAACTGAGTCTTAGCATTTGAGTATCTTTTTTTAAAAAGGAATATTTATTGAGAAAATATAGCAAAAAAATAGAATTTATAAACCCTTCCCTCCAATAACTGGGGGCCTATTCTTTCTTATAGCATTTATGCCCCATATTCTGTTACCTAACTCGTATACCTATAGCAAAAGTAGAAGTTACAGACCTTTCCTTCCTCAACATCTAGAGGTACACTTTTCACTATACCACTTCCATCTTTAGGAAAAGTAGGCTCAAACATAAAGCAGTCTCTACAAACATTTATCTTTACCAAGCTCATTTCCAAATGCAGCATAGCCAATAACGAATCCATATCTTCACTCCATTGGACTCAGTCAACAAGCTGCTCTTTGGGGACTCAGCTGCCACCCTGCCAATGTTTAGCCTCTGGGAAATCCCAACATAAAGCTCCCAGACTTCTAGTGCTTATTATTCTGATTTTTTAAAACTCACAAAATTGTAGCTATCTCCAGGAAGATTAGACAGACGCAGACGCAACAGCAAGACTATGTGTTCACAGGCCACGTGGAAGTGGCCTCAGTGCAGGAGTAGGGAGGGAGATAAATCCTTTTCTGGTCTAGAAGGCTGAGTTCTGGTAAATCAAAATCTCTTCCACTACACAAAAGAATGGGGTTCAGGAGGATCTTCTGTGAACACTCTTCCACGAACAGAAAACAATGGCCCATTTTTTTCTTATACTTTGGTAGAATAGGCAATTGTATTGCAATTTTGGGGTGTTGAGAAGCTTCCTCCCTATTTAAAAAAAAATCTCTTCACTGGCTAATCACTGGTGCCTAACACTGTACTATTAGCAATTTGTGTGTGTTAAAGCATCTCCTGCTTATTTTCTTATTTTTGATTTATACTTTTTGCATGTTGTCTCTTCCGTTAGTTCCTTGATCGCAGAACTGTCATTTACCTTTCTTTGTATCCCCAGGGCTCAGCTCAGTGCCTGGCACATAGTAGGGACTTAATAAAAGCTCATTGGGTATGCTGCTAAATGCTCTCCACTTCTCACCAAAAATGCACGCAGGACCCAGTTTTAAGTTTGATCTGTATCATTAACATTTTCTCCATTACTTTCTTAGGCCTAGACAATCAACAAATATAAATCAAGCCCTGATTTGGAGCATTTGCCTATTTCTGAGCTGTAAAGGGAAGAGGGGGCAAAGGTACCTGGTTTGGGGGAGGGGAGAGCATGGCAGAGGAAATTTGGAGCGCAGCATAGAAAGGAATGAGACATGGCTGGCCAGGGCACCCATCTTAAATGGAGTTTCTGAGAGGAGCCATCGAATCAGTGGGAGAGGTGGTAGGTGAGGAGGGTACTTCCAATATATGAATTCCAGGGCTGGAGTGAGACTAGAAAGTTCAAGAATTCACTTTGATTAGACTGATGGGGCTAGAAGCCATACAATAAGGTATTAAGGATTAGATGGATAGTGAGGAAGTGGAGATAGTAAGCTATACTAGTTTTTCCAGCTCTTTGGCATTGAAAGGAAATGGATAAGATAATTGCTTAAGGGAGTGGAAAGGTCAGGGAAAGGATTTAGTATAGTAGAGACGATGTTTTAGATGAAGGGGAAGGAACCAATGTATGAATTCTATTAGATACTGATGTATTTGAAAAGACCATAGTATAACTAATTGCCCCTCCTTTAATAAGTAGTACTAGGGGGCAGCTAGGTGGCACAGCGGGTAGAGCACCGGCCCTGGGTTCAGAAGGACCTGAGTTCAAATTTGACCTCAGACACTTACTAGCTGTGTGACCCTGGGCAAGTCACTTAACCACATTACTTAGCCAAAAACAAAACAAAAAAAAGTAGTACTAGAATCTTTCTTTACAGGTTTGGTTCAGAAAGCCCATTGATCTTTGGGCTCTTCCTATTTGTTTAAGCAGAACTATAGTAAAGAACTGAGTCTGAAAATAAGGACCTGCTTCTCATGCTTACTTTTTATGTGACCTTAGGAAAGTCATTTAACCTCCTTGGGCCTCAGTTTCCTCATCTGCAAAATGAGGGGGGAATGGAATTTGATGTCCTCTGATTTATGATCCTATGAACCCAACTTGGATCAACCCTGACATCACATTGTCAAGATAGGTTATTTACTATACTTCCAGATGCGAAGACATCAATTTCAAGTATGGTGGCTCCTTTAAAATGTGGCATCAGTTGTGACTCCCCTACCCCGGTACCTCATCAAAAAACTACAGCCAAATGGTACAACTCATTACTTGACAATTGGAATAACTTACAACTTTGTATTGTTTCATCTGCTGTCTTTGTGCTTTTAACACCTGGTTTCTTCTGGTATTCCTTTATTTTCCTTGTTTGAATTAACTTCTTGTTCAGCTAGATCTCCTTTCCTCAGTATTCCCTGGTTTGTGTTTGATTTTTGCTTTTGCCTGCAACTTTGGGTATGATATCTCTGGGCTTCCTTTCCATTTCCTTCGTTAGCCCACCTGTTCTTTAATTTCTGGCATAACATCCAGTAGCTTCCCACAGGAAGGCCTTGTAAATCACATTCTCTAACAGCCACTTCTAAAATTCAACCCTCAATGATATTATTGGTGTTTTCAACAATTTTATGAATATCAGGTATTGCCTTATTAACTTAATGGATTATAATGGCCTAATTATTCATTTCAAATGAGACATTGTAGTGATGGAGAGTTCAGATAGAGATACAGAAATAAAGAGAAACAGAACCATACAGGGATAGCAGTTAACAAAACCTGAATACCACTAACAAGAGGTGTCAGTGAACTGGTATACTATGCTCTAGGTGCCATACTAAGTGATGGAGGTACAGAGAAAGACAAAAGTCCCTTTTCTCAATGAGATTAGAGTTTCATGGGGAGATAACATGCAAACAACTATGTACAAACAAGCTACATATAGGATAAATTAGAGATTGTCAGCAGAGGGAAGACACTGGCATTAAGGGATATTGGGAAAGGATTCTTGCAGAAGGTTGAACTTTAACTGAGACTTGAAAGAAGACAGGGAAGCTAGGAAGCAGAAATGAGGAGGGAGAGAGTTCCAGGCATGGGGAGGGTAAAGAACAGATGCTAATGGGAAACAGTCTCAGGATGCAGCCCCATTCCCTTTAGCCTAGGTTATCATACAGTAGGTGGCTTTGAAATAGTGCAATGGTTTTCACACTCTGGGTCCAGAGCCCTCAGAATTAAAATTTATATAGACAAAGAGCCAGCTGTGATCTATAGGGAAAGATAGTAACACAGTCAGAATCAGTAAAATGAGGGTATTTTCTAATTTTCCTGATAATTAATGGAAATAAGGGGGCAGGGTAGGCAGCTAGGTGACATAGCAGAGTGCCAGGCATGGCATCAGGAAGATTCATCTTCCTGAGTTCAAATCTGGCCTCAGATACTTACTTAGCTCTATGATCCTGGGCAAGTCACTTATCCCTGTTTGCCTCAATTCCCTCGTTGTAAAATGAGCTGGAGAAGGAAATGGTGAAGCACTCCAGTACCTTTGCCAAGAAACCCCAAATGGAGTCTGAAAAGTCAGATGACTGAAAAACAACTGAACAACAGCAAGGGCTCGGATGCAGGGAAGTTAACTCCAACTACGTCATCCAGCAAGAAGCTAGAATTGAAGGGGAGGGAAGGCAGTGGAGATAACTCCAAATCTCTGGATTTATTAGTCTTAGCATACCTGCCTTCTAGAGGCGGGGCCATACCAGTCAAACTGGTTTTCAGCATTTCAGACATAATAAAGAAAACATTTGCTGGCAAAGGGTATTGACCACTCTTGTGGAAGAATCTAGGAGAGGCAAATCAAAGCTTGTCCTATAGATTGTCCCATCCTTTAGATTTTACTGTTTTAGGATCATCATTACTACCTTTTGAGGTTAGTGCTATTATTTTCTCCCATTTTACAGAAGAGGAAATTGAGGCTAAGAAGGATTAAGTGGCTTGCCTAGGGTAGCACACCTAATAAGTATCTCAGGTAGGGTTTGAACCCAGCTCCTTCTGACTAAGTTCAGTGAGCACTCTGTCTACTATTCTTAGCTCCCACCATAGTTGGATATATGATCTCTGATTACAAGTCGTAGAACACTGCAGAACCTTCAAAGTTAAAACCATAATCACCAAACAAACTCAGACTTTGTCCTCTACTACTACCATGAATTATACAATTGGCATACGCAAATTCTTCTAAAGGGGATTGACTCTAAGTTAATATTTCCTGCTAGTTTCTTTTGTATTTGTTATGATATCTCCTTTAGTATTTATGATTTTTGCTGATTAGTTTTCTTTCTACTCTTGAACAGTTTGCTAATGGTTTATTAATCTTGTCTTTAAAAGAAAAACTACTCATTTTATTTATCAGTTCAATTGTCCTTAAGTTTATATTTCTGTTTATTTCTTCATTTACTTTTATAATTCATCTTTTTTTTTAAAACTCACTCTAGACCGAGCTCAGAGGAAAAAGAAGTCTGAAGTCTGAAGCCTGCCTTCAGGCATATTCACACTTCCCTATCTCTTCCTGGGGGAGGAAGCCTGGTTCCCACACATGATGACTTGTCCTTACTACACAACCACACAATCAAGACAAAATAGTTCTTTCTTCTTTCATTGGAGCCTCAACCAGAATGGAGTGTTATAAGTCTAGAACAATGGTGTCAAAATCATATAGAAACAGGGGCCACTAAACTGGATCTCTGTGGACCGTGGACTTAGAAAACCACAAATTAACATTATCTATATTGGATTTTATTTTTATTTTATTAAATATTTCTCAATTTAATTTTCATCTGGTTCAGGCTACTGGAATTTTGTGAGCTTAGGGCATACAGGCTAGGAGTTTGACACTTCTGGTATAGAAGATTCATAATCCTGTACCAGGTGAGCAGAATGAGACCCGTATTTTCAGACTTGGCCTATGTGTGGATTTGTTTTGTTTGACTATTTTTTTTATTACAAGGAAAATTTTTCGAGGGGAGAAGGAGAATTTTGAGGGAGAAGAAAGATGGAAACAGAGGGCTAGTGATAACAACGTTTAAAAAAAAAAGAAAAGAAAAATTGACTGAAACTTTTTTTTAATGCACAGAACAGAACAAAGTTCAGAGGCAGACATAAACAAACAGAATGCTTTGGAATTAGTGCTTTGAATTATTATAGTTTCCAAGAACAAGTTTAGCTAAATAGAGATTGTTATACTTTTTTTTTAAAGCTGGACATAATAGAAATTCACAGTTTCATGCACAATCTTTCTTATGTTCTTTATATGAGAAAATGCTCGTTTTTGTTGATGTTTTTTGAGTTCAGTATAAAGTTAAAATCCTGAAGAAGAAAAAAATAAAATGTATAGGTAATCGCAAAAGAGGAGCTCATTGGAAGGAGGAAGAACTGTCTTGATTGATTTGGAGCCTAGATATGAGTCCTTTGCATTTTTTTTTTTAGTGAAATAAAGAATGCCCCACATTAAAAAAAAAAAAGTAAAGGGTTGATTCACTACTGATTTCAACTGTTTTTTCCTTTGTGGGGAAGGTCTTCAGCCAAAGAAAGAGCTAAATCTGGAAGACTGCATTGGTCATGATGAGGGTAGGATTTACCAGAAAAGGTAGGGAAGATTCCTTGGTTGGTTATGGGTTCAGGTAGCAGTCTTTTGCATTGTGTTTTCTATTGGATGAAATGAAGGCTGCCTTGTATGATGTATCTTATTAAACTGAATGCTTGTGTGGCAGTTGAGGACCCTTTTGCTTTCTATAGAGAACAAAATATAAGCTATATATTCTCATGCTTTCAGCAAATATTCTGGATGAAGGAAAATTAGTCAAATTCTGAGGTTCTTGGGGGATATTCTAGGAGGGGACAAAATGAGTAAAAGAGAATGAATTCTTAGGAATACCTCAAAAATAAACCCACACTGTGCAAAACTAATGTTGGTGCTCTGAAGAACAAATTACGAAAATATCTGAGAAATAAAAGGAAGGAAATAAAACAAATTTATGAGTAACCCAGGGTAAAGAGAAAATTATTTCAGTCAACTGAAAGGTGAAAATTTATCCAAGATAAAATCCTAGATAATTTATCCTAGAAAAATTTATTAGAAAAGAAGGGGGGTTGAATTTTTGCACATTTTTGTTTTTGTTTTTGGCAGTGTAAATCTTAGATCTTATTCCTTCCTCTGAGATTTGTCTATTTAAATTATGAATTTCCTGTTGTTTCAGTTTGGATAATTTATATTTTTGTAGACAATAACCTATTTCCTCTAAATTCCCAAGTTCGTCAGACTATAGGTATGTATAATACTTCCTGTTAGTTTCTTTTGTATTTGTTATGATCTTTCCTTTAGTATTTATGATTTTGCTGATTTGTTTGCTTTCTCCTCTTGTTATGGTGGTTTACTAATGGTTTATTAACCCTGTCTTAAAAAACAACATAACTATTTGATGGATCAGGACTTCCGGAAGCCAAAATGGTAGGCTAAGCAGTAAATCTAACTTTGCCACATTCACCTCCAAGCAACCATAAAATAATGCCTCAGAGCAAGTCTTCTAATGATAGAACCAGCAAAAAGATGGGATGAAACAATCTTTTAGACCAAGAGTCTTGGAAGAATAGTGGGAGGGGGTCTGTCTCACTTGCATGGGAGGGGATCTCATTCCAGAACAGGAGGTGTCCCAGCAAGCCAGCAGTAAGCCACACCTCAGCAAATCAGGGAATATCCTGAGCCCATAGCCCAAGCAGACAGGCATCCTCCAGTCATGCTTCAGTGCAGCCCTAGGTTGGGGGGGAGGCAAAGAGTGGGAAAGCAGAAACACTCCACTAGGCCTTAGCATACCTCAGACACCACCACTAGGGCCCCACCTCAGCACCAGGTAAACTGCCAGACTCCAATAATGCCAGCTACCCCACTCCCACCCCCTCAGTGCAGTACTAGACATGAGGGCCCCCCAGGTAGTAATCATAACTGTGAATGTGAATGGGATGAACTTTCCCATAAAACAGAAGTGGATAGCTGAGTGGATCAAAAATCAGAATCCTACAATATGTTGTTTACAAGACACACGCTTGAAGCAGAGAGACATACACATGGTAAAGGTAAGAGACTGGAATAGAATCTGTTGTGTTTCAGTTGAAGTTAAAAAAAAAAGCAGGGGTAGCAATCCTGATCTCAGAGAAAGTAAAAGCAAAAATAGACCTAATTAAAAGAGATTATGAAGGAAACTACATCTTGCTAAAAGGTATCATAGACAATGAAAAACAATATCAATACTAAACATATATGCACCAAGTGGTATAGCATCCAAATTCTCAAAGAAGTGAGTTACAGGAAGAAATAGATAGCAAAACCATACTAGTGAGGGACCTCAATTGTCACCCTCTCAGAACTCAATAAATCCAATCAAAAAATAAAGAAACTAAGAAGGTAAGTAGATTATCAGAAAAGTTAGATATGACAGACCTTTGGAATGATCTAGACATAAAGGATGGAGGGAGAAGTACACTTATTCATTTCTGATAGGATAGCAAACTTGTAGAATCTCTTTGGAGAGCAATCTGGCAAAACACAGTCAAATGTGTAAAATAATCATACCCTTTTATCCGTAATTCTATTTTTGAGAATATACTCATGTTTTTCATTAATTATTATTATTTGAAGTAACTAGCTGTTCAAAGATTTTTCATGGTGGCAATCTTTGTAATTGCAAAAAAAAAAACAGCTGGGGTAACTTAAATGTCCAATAACTAGGGAATGATTTTAGAAAATAACAAATATTGTATTAATGTTACAGAGTAACATAAGGATACTCCTTCTATTTTACTGGTATAAAGAGCTCCCAAGAAGGAAATTCCCCTACCAATGTAGGCTGACATTTTCTCTTTGATACACAGTCTTGGACTTCTGGGGGAGGAGTCAAGATGGCAGAGTAGAGGAAGCACTCAGCAGAGCTTCCCTAATATTCTTCTCCAGACAACTTTAAATAATGCCATAAATAGAATTCTGGAATGGCAGAATCTACAAAAGGTCAGGGTGAGACATTCTTCCAGCCCAAGACAACTTGGGAGGTCAGAAAGAGAGATCTGTGACATAGGGTGGAGGCTGGCCCAGAGCCCATATGAATTCAACACCAGTGGTGGAACTTGGTGGTGGTGACAGCAGCAGCAGCAGCAACAGCTTCAGGAGCTCTCAAGCCAAAGATGTTAAGGGGATATGGCAACTGGTCAGAAAGAGATTACCATCATAGTACTGGATACAGGACCAAATGCTATTTGGCAACTCCATTGCTTAGACCCACTTCTGGGTCACAGTTCAAGGATCACTGCTGTCCCAAGGGATCTGGGGACCTTCTTGGGTAAGGACCAGAGTGCAGACCAGAAGAACAGTGACCCCCACCTCTCCCTGGATCACACCACTTTGGAAACATCAAAAACTTCCAAACCCCAGTACTAGCTCTTAAA